CAAGCCCCATGATGGGTTATACTAACAGTTAAATGGCGAGCGAAGGCTAGCAAGTACATCTTTCCTCTTACTAGCCGTGGGCTGGGCCTCTAGTAAGTTTCAGCATCCAGTTTTATAAACTGTGCATTAGAAGGGTATGCAGGCACAGGCCAGAATCCAGAGAAAAGCGACAGAAAGGATTAGAGGAATGGATTCTAATGGCTATCAAAGATGAAAAGGAATTGAGGTGTGTCAGTTTCTGAGTCAGAGGTAAAAATACATTGGGCATCTGCCGGCTTTGATCAGCTTTGCCCAGTTTCTCTGTTTAAGTGACCTCATAGTTATTCAGAGGATTAAAATGCTTTGTTTGCTTGGGGCCCATTTCATGGAGAAGATAGAGATAGAAAAGGGTTAAATAATTTGCCCAGGTTCCCTAGCAAGCCATGAGCGGAACTAGCATCATAATTTTAAATCCCAGGGCTGTCTGTGGGCTGTTTAATCCACCAATGCACATCATTTCTCTTTATAATGGATGCCCCCAAAAGACTGTAACAATGAAAGATGGAAAAATTCTCTGCAAATTTCCATGGGGGAAAAAATAAAACAAACTAAAAAGAAATGTCATGCCTCACTGCTGAGGCCCATATAAACATCATCCTCTTGTGTCCCCCTAGACTGATGGTACAGGACACAGTCCATCTGATAAGCTATCAGCAGATGACTGGATCCCTCATTGTACCCATTACCCATCCGATGTCAATTCCAAGCAGGAGCCCTTATGAGCGCTCTAGACAGCAGATGGAGATGGGGAGGTGTAGCTGGTCTGAAGTCAAGGAGTGGGGTGGGGAAGCTAGTTCTCAAATCCATCAGGTTTTCTGTAAAACAAATTCATCACCAAGCAAATGAAATACACTGGAGTATATTCAGCTAATTCCCAAAGTTGCCACAAAAAAGCTCAGAACTGTTTTTGAGTAAGTGCCATTCTATACTTTCAGCAAGGAGGAAGAAGTAAGCAAATCAAATGGTGAACCAAAAGCAGGTAAGCTATATTTGGAGGAAATCAGATTTCTAATATATTGTAAAGAAGACATGAAATCAAATAGCAAATGGCAACTCCAAAAAAGAATGGGGTGCACTCAGTATTACTGGCTAAAAAACAGTGGCTTGGGGCTATGGGGATGATAGCATCAATTATTTGCCAAATGTCCAGCCTGGATCCAGCTTGCCTTATGTACATACAACACTGAGGACTAAATGGCATTTATTGTGCCTCACTAAGTTCAGTGTCCCATCAGGAGATGTTGACATAGACACATACAGAACCAACAGCAATTGGACAATTGGATAAGACATTCCGAATGGGATCTTTCTGTTAAGTTTCTGAAGCAGAGACAATATAACTTATGCAAGGGAAATAAAGGGCCACTAATTTAGGATAACTGGTCTTTACAGATACAATCAATCAAGGGCATTTTAATCCTTCTGCTGAGAAATTGTAGGTTTGGGGGTTTAAATAGCTATGAGAATCTCTTCCTGATAAAGCCAGCTTGCCACTGTGGCAGCTCAGTTCTTAAGCCACCTCTGCCACTAACGTGGCTGGGTGATTTTTAGTAAACAGCGTAATCACTCAGTAAATTCATTTCCTGTCACCCACACCTGCCAAAAGAATATGCACAAAGGGACTAGCTAAGCTTGAAGAAATACTTATTGGTGTGATTGGTAAATGCCACTGATATTCAGCAAGGAGTTTAAGGATGGTGCTGCTTTGCTGATCCTGAGAATGTGAGATGGTGCTGCTTCAATCATATATTAGTAAACCTCTATCAGTCCACAGTCCCAGGGCCTTTGAGAAATCAGACAAGACCAAAAAGAAACTTGACACCAGGAGTAATAATCAAGACCAGACTCAAGCACAAAAATTGCCCTTCCTTATGCTTCTAAAGCTGGCAATGTGGCCAAGAGGAGGATGTGTGTAACGAGGTTTTGGGAATACATATTTTATAAATTGTAAAATGGGAGATGAGGCGACTAACCAACTTCTCTCTAACTCTTCTATTTCCTGGCCTAAAGCAATACCATCCTTTATAGACAAACGTGCACTCACTGAGGAACAAGGTCTTTCTATAAAGCTAAAATTTAGTCATCCTGTTGCGAGACACACATCAGAAATGTTTCTGCTAAGCTTTCCCTTTTATTTCAGCTAATGTCTCCCCTCCCTAATCAGGACCTTTGAACTCCATATAATTTACTGCCAAAATATAGATTAATTCAGCTAATTCATTTGCCGAAGTATTTCTTTGTACTCAACCTCTCCCCTTTGGAATATACACAGTCATGGGAAACATTTTAACATCTCTTTCTCCAGGTCCAAGTTATTCTATCATAACCCTAAATAAAACATGTTATGTGAAAGTGCCTTAAAATAAACAGTAAAGTGCTAGATAAATATAAGGTAATATTAACCATACTTACTATCATTAGTCATTGCTGCAACCAAGTCAGCAAACTGCTTCCAACCATCTGTTGTGAATTTTTTAAAGGACTTATATAAGTTTTTAAAATACACACATTCATGCTTCCCAGGAAGAACCATAGGTAGGGTATGGAACATTGGAGTCATCAAAGACTAGGTCCCCTGGTAGGCCAGAGGTTACTATTTAAATGACACAAAGCAGTGACTTAGGAGTAAAAGACAAAGGAGTCTACTCCAAGGTGGGCCCAAGTCTTCCTCAGCATGACTCTGTTCAGAGCTTGAGCTAAGCCCAGGGCAATAGAAAATGCACAGGTGACAGGAATCAGTCCATACTCCCCCAAACATCCATCTCTCTGCAGCAACCAGCTCTAAGTGCCATCATCTACACATATCCCCAAGGGTGACCGGGTCAGGTTGACTTTACTGGGGAGACAGAGGTAGCAGCAAAAGATGAACAAGGATGAAAAGATGAACAAGTCCATCTGACTTAGTTTCCTTTTTCCAACCATGGAGGCCAAAAGCATTTCTAGAATAGTTATCTGTTGCATCCCACAGCCACTGCTTAATAGAGAAAAGGACCACAGAACATAGGCTGTCAACAGCTAGGACTAAAAATTGTCTCATTTTGCAGATGGGCAAACTAAGGTCCAGGAAGAATACTCTCCCCAGTCACACAACTAATTAATGCCAGAACTAAGTCTCCAGACTCTTCTAAAAGCCTCTAAAAACCTTTCCACTAAAAACCATGGTACTGCCAGGTTTGATGTCATCACACCAGCAGCAGCCCCAGTCAGGCTGAATTTAGTCCTTTGTTGACCTTCTAGATATGTGGCTGCCAGAGGCCTCAAGACCCTTTTGTGGAAGAGGTACCCTCTGACCTTCACCACCTGCTGTCCAAAAAAAAGCACTCCTGTCCCAAGAGCTTCTTGCAGCAGTGGCTGAGATGCGTTGTTTCCTCTCATTAACAAACAGGCCATTCATAAATAAATTTAAAAAAAAAAAAAAGAAGAAGAAGAAGAAAGAAAAGAAAGAGGACTGGCTCAAATTTACACAGAAGGTCTAGCTGGGAGAGCCCTGGGCTTCCTGTGAATAGCATCACTTCCCAAGAAGCCTTTTCTTATAAAAAAAAAATGTTGCCCCCTCCAGCCCTGCTCAATGATGAAAGCCACCCAATCAATAACAGCCTCTTTATTACAAAGCTATCTGCACCTCTTTGCCACACCTGCAAAATGGGAAGGGCTTGAGGCCGTTTACCACATTTTACAGATAGGAAAACTGAGGCCAAGGACCTGCAATCAAGGAGCTCCTAGAACAAAGAGGTAACCAGCTAGTGAGCCTCAAGTAGGCATTGTCATGCTGATCAGCCTCAGCCTCCCCACAGAGACTGCCCTATTTCACTGCCAGCTTGCCATTCCAAAGACCAACCCAGAGGATAATTCACCTTTTGGCTGCAGGCAAGTGACCACCCTATCCCTTGGCACTCCACAAGCCTGTAAAATGGAGATAATAATCTTAACCTTAACCTCCTGCCCCATATAGGGCTGTCACAAGTCTCCTGAGAATAACCTACAAATACAAATGCAATAAAGATTCTAATGACAGGTTTCAAAACTGTTTCTGAATAAAACATACCAAGTTTTCCACAGCCCGAAATTTACAAAGGATTTGTCTCCCTTTCTCCTCTTCCTTCTCCTCTGTGATTTTATAGTTTCATAACATCTCTTCACACAGGCTGAGTACAGAAAGACATTCTCATTCTTGGTCTTCAACCAGATTATTTTTATGTATCTGACACTTTCCTTTTTAATCCAGTTTGTTTTTCTTAATACTGCTAATAGGAGGTAAAGAAATCAGCTCTCTGAGTGCCCCTGGACCATGACCATAGGATAAGAATGATAAGATAAAGAGGTTTGCAAAAAAAAAATAAATACCCTTTCACCAGAATAGAAATCACCAGCCCAATGTTCTCGAGTCAGCCTGGGGCCTGTTTCAGAGAGCACTTAGTAGGAGCTTGGTGCTGCTCCAAACCCTCAGAATTCAAAAGCAGACCTCACCCTAAGAGTACAAACTCCCAAATGAAAGAATAATTAAGGGAAACCTGTAAAAGTATTTCCCCAAAGTACCGTAGTAGAGACAAGGAACCTTATTTAACCACCTCCAGTAAAGAATGTCACCAGGCCTCTGAGGATTAACTGTGACAGAGAGCATGGGGGCTGGGCCAGGTCTCCAGATGTAATTCGGAAAGGGCACCTGGCTGGGGCTGGACTTCCTGCTTGTGAAAGGCCCCAGCAGGGCTGGGAGGAACAGGCAGCCAGCCTGAGTGCCAGTGGGTTCTGGTGCTACGTTCCTTCCCTCCACTGTGAGGCTGATGCATTGTGCAAAGGTGAAAGAAAGCCAATCTGAAATATGCACAAAAACAGATCTTTGGAAAATCATTTTTAAAGGTCCCACTTCCCAAAGGGATGAGGTGCTGTACACTGCCGAGTGTCCTGAGCACACTAATGACTCTTATCACTAAGGCTGCCCAGGAAAAAGTCAACAAACTCACATGCATCATGGTGACCAGGTGACAGGGGTTGAGCAGGTAGATGACGGTCTTGGTGGCGAACTTAAAGCCCACCTCCACCCCGAAGGTCAGGCACAGGGCTACTAAGAGCAGATTCTTGCTCAGGCTCTCCTTGCCTTCCTCTGGCCGCTGGGTCACCTGCTCTGGCTGGCAGCCATGGTCACCCCTACCGTCCTCCTTCGTCTGCCTCAGGATGTGCCGCAGGGCCACCAGGATCTCCAACAGGGCCAGGGTCAGGACCACCACACTTTCCAGCAGCCGCTGCTGCCAAGAGAGGAAGGCAGCACAGTCGGGGCCCCCATTGCCTGCAAAGCTGGGGTCCACGCCCCCATAGAGCCAGTCCAGAAGAGTTTGGTAGCTATACCGGGACATGATGCAAAGTGGCTCCCCTCGACCACCTTGCGGGAAGCAAGAGTGAGATGGAACACAAGCCCAGAGAGTTGCCCGGGTGGTGGGACATGTACGGAGGGCACACCCCCACACCCGCACTCCCCTCCAGACACCCCAGACACCGGGGCACCGAGAGCAGGGGAGGGGAAGCTACACGCGAGGCCCGGGGCAAAGTGCTGGCTCTAACTTGTCCCCACGGCTGTCTGGGGAGCCCCCCGCGCTTCTCCAGTGGCCACCAACGAGGCAGGGTTGAAACGAGCCGTTGGCCAATCTAAAAGGAAGGAGAGGAAAAAAAAAAGGTCTCAAAGAGGCAATTGCATCGGGAATTACGAAGCGGGGAAGGGTAACTAGCGAGGGAAGAAAAGGGGAACCGGGGCAGTGGCGAAGCAAGCAGGGGTCAGGGCAAGTCAGAGGCCGAGAGGTTCGGGGCCGAGGGGACCCCGCAGTGCCTCGGGAGCGAACCTGGGGGTGACGGGGGTGAGAGCGAGGGAACACGCGGAGGCCAGGAGAGGAGCTAGCGGGGCTGGGCAGGCGGGGAGGGAGACAGGGATGGCAGGGACGCCGGACTCCTCCTTTCACACACTCGCCACAGGGGATCGCTTACTCCGGCAACCGCGTGGCCTTCTCTGCCCCCAGCTAGCAACTTCGCCGCGGTCGGGTCCCTCCGGCCAATTTAGAGCCCTCCGG